AAACATTGTTCTAGGGAGTATTCAACACCGTAAAATATTTAAGGTGGTATGCGTGTCCCATTGGTCGATAGTGTGTTTAGACGAAAGTATCTTGCAAGGTCAGCTTCCTGAACTTTCCAACTTCCTTTGTGGCTAAGTTATCACAGGAAATGTCTTTTACTGCTCGAATATTAATACACTTGCGACAAAATCTCCTCGGAAGATTAAACTCCTTAAAATTTTGTGTTCATTCCTGGATCAGCTAGATCGGAGATGATCGGAAAACTGTCATGCACAAGACCTCTGTCATCTAAGATATTCTGACAATTGAAAACCAGAAGTAGTAACTAAGCATTCTGGCTCTTTTCTATAAACACAAACATAGTAACAATATTGATAACAAAATACATAGTGTCTCTAACTAATGTCGATATTGCTTACTTGGTTTCGGTTCCGAAGGATTCACATTTAAATCTGGTATGATGGTGTCTGTTAAACACATCATAAAAATATCGTTTAGTACATAACTTGTACAGAATTACTCTTTTGATCAGCCGTCACTTTCTAACAAAAACAATTCATGGAATATTTTGACTCAGACGGGCAGTAATGTGGTCGTCATCTGTTACTTCAAATGGATAGCAATGCTCCGCGGCGACGAGACAAAAACTATGCCGGAAGAGCAAGCGTATGGAATTCAATGACAAGTTTTGAGACCCCGTTATCCTCGAATACTTTTTAAAGCGCCACTGAAACGAATTCTAACTTCTTTCAAACTAACGGAAAATTCCCGTCTCAAAATTAAATGTGCTAACAAATGAAATGTATACGACGTCGCAAGGTTTGCAGCTCGAAAGCGGAAGTCCTAACCTGTTGGAAAGTTGAAGAAAGGGAGAGGTAAAAAAGTTAAGGTGTCACGTAACCGGTAGCGAAAGGCAAGTGAAAAGTAAAAATATAGTGCGACAGTTGACTAGGGGACCGAGAACGTGGTCAGAGACCATACATATACCGGCGACTCTGTAAATATGATGAATATCTGTTGTTTTTATTTCATCAAATTTTAATTGCTCTGCAAAAAAGTAAAATTAGAAATACGTTTCTTTGTTTTTCCGAATCAAATAACTTCGTGAAAGGATAGAATGCTTTCAAGTATTTGCAGGCTCGCTAAATTACCGTTGTTTTCCGAACAATAGACTTCTCATTACAGTGACAAATGAGAGTGAAAAACAAAATAATGTATCAGCCAAAAATGTGATAAGTTTTACATGTCAGCTGGCATACTGTGGGTAACTTCTTCTTGGTCTGCTTGCAGACGTAGCACAGGTTGATACCGCAATTTAAGTCATTCCAACTACCTGCTAACCACGACCTTATTTCCACACAGTCCTCTTGGCCATGGAAATCATTTGGTTCGTTGTTGCTATAGCTTTTGTAAACAGATGATGACCCATCCGACCATTGGAAATTGCCTTTAGTCCTGAGGTCATTAAGTCCACTCCAACAAGGACTACATAATTAAATTAATGATAAGAATAATTATAAAAATAATCATAATGACTATTATCTTATTAATGATAAACGACAGGTGAAATAAGTGCACAGAGAGTTGTACGATACAACGCGCGAACTGAGTCAGGTCATAACCAGTTAGTCATATTTTCAGAATCATTCAGTGAGACAGTGCACAACTTTTCTCCATGCACGATTTTGAAAAAAAACTCAAATATTGGTTGTGTTGGGAGTTAGATTTACGCTTTAATAATGTAAGTTTCAACGCAATGAGAGTAAAAATGGAATCAAACTCAATTAATAGTCAATGGAACGCAAAGAAACCATCTGACAACAATAAACGTTTGTACACATGTTTGTTTTCTCCTTGCGTCCATTCTTTAGCACAAGTATAAGATTAACATGTCTCTCAACGTTTTCCGGTTTAAGAAGTAAGTGTTGCACACAGTGCAACTAAGTTTCCCTTTTCCCAATGATTGCAAAAATGCTGCAACAGTTCTTT